GTGTGTTGGGTGTGTGTGTGGATGGGGTGTGTGTGTGTTGTGTGTGTGATGTTGAGGTTAGTGTGTGTGTGATGTTGGGGTGTGTGTGTGTGATGTTGGGGTGTGTGTGTGTGTGTTGGGGTGTGTGTGTGTGTTGGTGTGTGTGTGTGTGATGTTGGGGTGTGTGTGTGTGTGGGGGTGTGTGTGTGATGTTGGGGTGTGTGTGTGTGATGTTGGGGGTGTGTGTGTGTGTGATGTTGGGTGTGTGTGTGTGTGTGATGTTGGGGTGTGTGTGATGTTGGGGTGTGTGTGTGATGTTGGGGTGTGTGTGTGATGTTGGGGGTGTGTGTGATGTTGGGGGTGTGTGTGTGATGTTGGGGTGTGTGTGTGATGTTGGGGGTGTGTGTGTGTGATGTTGGGGGGTGTGTGATGTTGGGGTGTGTGTGATGTTGGGGGTGTGTGTGTGTGATGTTGGGGTGTGTGTGTGATGGGGTGCGTGTGTGTGATGTTGGGGTGTGTGTGTGTGTGATGTTGGGGTGTGTGTATGTGTGATGTTGGGGTGTGTGTATGTGATGTTGGGGGTGTGTGTGTGTGTGTTGGTGTGTGTGATGTTGGGGTGTGTGTGTGATGTTGGGGGTGTGTGTGTGTTGGGGATGTGTGTGTGTTGGGGTGTGTGTGTGTGATGTTTGGGTGTGTGTGTGATGTTGAGTTGTGTGTGTGTGATGTTGGGTTGTGTGTGTGTGTGATGTTGGGGTGTGTGTGTGTTGGGGTGTGTGTGTGTGTGATGTTGGGGTGTGTGTGTGGGTGTTGGGAGTTGTGTGTGTGATGTTGGGGTGTGTGTGTGTGTGATGTTGGGGTGTGTGTGTGTGGGATGTTGGGGGTGTGTGTGTGTGATGTTGGGGTGTGTGTGTGATGTTGGGGTGTGTGTGTGATGTTGGGGTGTGTGTGTGTGTTGGTGTGTGTGTGATGTTGGGGTGTGTGTGTGTATGTTCAGGAGTGTGTGTGATGTTGGGGTGTGTGTGATGTTGGGAGGTGTGTGTGTGTGATGTTCAGGTGTGTGTGTGTGATGTTGGTGTGTGTGTGTGATGTTCAGGTGTGTGATGTTCGGGTGTGTGTGTGTGATGTTCAGGTGTGTGTGTGTGTGATGTTCAGGTGTGTGTGTGTGTTCAGGTGTGTGTGTGTGTGATGTTCGGGTGTGTGTGTGTGTGATGTTCAGGTGTGTGTGTGTGATGTTAAGGGTGTGTGATGTGTGTGATGTTCAGGTGTGTGTGTGATGGGGTGTGTGTGATGATGGTGTGGGTGTGTGTGTGTGATGTTGGTGTTGTGTGTGATGGTGTGTGTGTGTGTGATGATGGGGTGTGTGTGATGATGGTGTGGGTGCGTGTGTGATGTTCAGGTGTGTGTGTGTGTGTGTGTGATGGGCTGTGTTTGTGTGTGTGTGTGTGTGTGTTGGGGTTGTGTGTGTTAGGGTGTGTGTGTGTGTGGGGTGTGTGTGTGTGTGTTGGGTGTGTGTGTGTTGGGTGTGTGTTGTGATGTTGGGGGGTGTGTGTGTGTGTGATGTGGGTGTGTGTGTGTGGGGTTGTGTGTGTGATGGGTGTGTGTGTGTGATGTTGGGGTGTGTGTGTGGGGTGTGTGTGTGTGTGTTGGGGTGGTGTATGTGTGTGATGTTGGGGGATGTGTGTGTGTGTTGGGGGGTGTGTGTGATGTTGGGGTGTGTGTGAGTGTTGGGGTGTGTGTGTGTGTGCGGTGTTAGGGTTATAGTGTGTGTGTGTGTGTGATGTTGGGGTGTGTGTGTGATGTTGGGTGTGTGTGTGTGGTGTTGGGGTGTATGTGTGGTGTTGGGGGTTGTGTGTGTGATGTTGGGTGTGTGTGTGTGTGATGTTGGGGTGTGTGTGTGTGTGATGGGTGTGTGTGATGTTGGGGTGTGTGTGTGGATGTTGGGGTGTGTGTGTGTGTTGGGGGTGTGTGTGTGTTGGGGTGTGTGTGATGTTGGGAGTGTGTGTGATGTGGGGTGTGTGTGTGTGTGTGATGGGGTGTGTGTGTGTGTGTTGGGGTGTGTGTGTGTGTGTGATGTTGGGATGTGTGTGTGTGATGGGATGTGTGTGTGTGTGTGATGTTGGGGTGTGTGTGTGTGTGATGTTCGTGTGTGTGTGTGTGTGTGTGGGGTGTGTGTGATGATGGGGTGTGTGTGTGATGGGGGGTGTGTGTGTGATGTTCGGGGTGTGTGTGTGTGTGTGTGTGATGATGAGGGGGTGTGTGTGTGTGTTGGGGTGTGTGTGTGTGTGTATGTTGGGGGGTGTGTGTGTGTGATGTTGGGGGTGTGTGTGTGTGATGATGGGGTTGTGTGTGTGATGATGGGGTGTGTGTGTGTGATGATGGGGTGTGTGTGTGTATGTTGGGGTGTGTGTGTGATGTTGGGGTGTGTGTGGGGTGTGTGTGTGTGTGTGTGTGTGTGATGTTGGGGTGTGTGTGTGTTGGGGGATGTGTGTGTGTGATGTGTTGGGGTGTGTGTGTGTGTGATGATGGGTTTGTGTGTGTGTGTTGGGGTGTGTGTGTGTGTGTGATGTTGGGGTGTGTGTGTGTGTGTGTGTGGGGGTGTATGTGTGTGTTGGGGGTGTGTGTGTGATGTTGGGGTGTGTGTGTGTGTGATGTTGGGGTGTGTGTGTGTGTGATGAGGGTGTGTGTGTGTGATGTTGGGGTGTGTGTGTGTGATGTTGGGGGTGTGTGTGTGATGTTGGAGGGGTGCTGTGTGATGTTAGGTGTGTGTGTGTGATGTTGAGGTGTGTGTGATGTTGGGGGTGTGTGTGTGATGTTGGAGTGTGTGTGTTGGGGTGTGTGTGTGTTGGGGAGTGCGTGTGATGTTGGAGTGTGTGTGTGTTGGGGTGTGTGTGATGTTGGGGTGTGTGTGTGTGATGTTGGGTGTGTGTGGGGTTGCGTGGTGTGTGATGTGGGGTGTGTGTGTGTGTTGGGGTGTGTGTGTGATGTTGGGGTGTGTGTGTGGTGATGTTGGGGTTGTGTGTGTGTGTGATGTTTGGGGTGTGTGCATGCTGATGTTAGGTGTGTGTGTGTGGTGTTGGGGTGTGTGTGATGGGGTGTGTGTGTGTGATGTTGGGGTGTGTGTGTGTTGGGGTGTGTGTGTGGTGTGATGTTGGGGTGTGTGTGTGATGTTGGAGTGTGTGTGTGTGATGTTGGGGTGTGTGTGTGTGGGGTGTGTGTGTGTATGTTGGGGTGTGTGTGTGTGATGTTGGGGTGTGTGTGTGTGTGTGTTGGGGTGTGTGTGTGGTGTGATGTTGGGTGTGTGTGTGTGTGTGATGGGGTGTGTGTGTGTGTGATGGGTGTGTGTGTGTGTGATGGGGTGTGTGTGTGTGGTGATGTTGGGTGTGTGTGGTGTGTGTGACGTTAGGGTGTGTGTGTGTGTGTGTTGTGTGTGTGTGTTGTTGGGGTGTGTGTGTGTGTTGGGGTGTGTGTGTGTGTGTGTGTGTGTTGGGGTGTGTGTGTGTGTGTTGGGTGTGTGTGTGTTGAGGAGTGTGTGTGTGATGTTCAGGTGTGTGTGTGATGTTGGGGTGTGTGTGTGTGATGTTGGGGTGTGTGTGATGTTGGGGTGTGTGTGATGTTGGGGTGTGTGTGTGATGTTCAGGTGTGTGTGTGTGTGATCATGGTGTGTGTGTGTGTGATGATGGGGTGTGTGTGTGATGTTCAGATTGTGTGTGTGTGTGTGAATGTGTGATGGGCTGTATGCTTGTGCGTGTGTGTGTGTGTGCCTGTGTGGGCTGCATGTTTGTCTGTGTGTGTGTGTGTGTGTGTGTGGGGTTTGTGTGTGTGTGTGTGTGTGTGGTGTTTGTTTGTGTGTGTGTGTGTGTTTGATGTTGGGTTAGTGTTTGATGTTGGGTGTGTGTGTGTTGGGTGTGTGTGTGTGTGTTGGGTGTGTGTGTGTGTGTGATGATAGGTTTGTGTGTAGAATATGATGGATTTGTGTGTGTGTGTGTGTGTGTGTGATGTTCGTGTTATTGGTGATATGTTGGGGGTGTGTGTGTGATGTTGGGGGTGTGTGTGTGATGTTGGGGTGTGTGTGTGTTGGTGTGTGTGTGTGTGTGTGTGTGTGTTGGGGTGAGTGTGTGATGTTGGGGTGGGAGTGTGTTGGTGTGTGTGGTGTGTTGGGATGTGTGTGTGTGTGTGTGTGTGTGTGTGTGTGTGTGTGTGTGTGTGGTTTGATTGGGGAACTTGGCGGCCAGGGAGCAGAATATGTGGTTGTTGGGGAGATGGGTTCAGATGGGAAAGCTGGTTTGTGGTTCTTATAGCGATCAGATTCGTGCCGTATGGTTTGGATGCAGTTGTGTGGTGTCGAACAGCAATTCTCGGGCGGGATCTCAGGTGGTAGACCATGTGAGGATGGTGCAAACCTACCAAATCTGCAGATGTGAGTCGTGGTGATGGTCAGCGAGAGTCAGAGGTCAGTGTCTTGGAAACTCTTAATATGTGGAGTAGGAAGGGAAAATCTTCATGCAGTTGTTTACGTTGTGGCATTTAGGGAGGAGACCAGGTAGGGGAGGCATAGGTGGAAGCTTGAAGTATGAATGTTGGAGTAAACACTGAGGGCTCCAGGAACAGGAACTCCGAGGACGATTCAGCGGAGGGAGGTGGGGCGGAAACTGGAGCAATACGTAACTTCTA